TGATCATGAATGCCAACAGCCTGCTCTGCCAGCAGCAGCAACAGCAACAACAACAACAACAGCAGCAACTGAGCGAACAACAGTTGCTGTCAATGCAACAGCAACAACATCACGATTTGCCGCCTGAGCAGCTCCTCTATCAGCATTACGATAATGGACACGGTCTATATGGAGCTGGCAGCTATCAAAATCTGTCGTCCATGTCCACCTGCATGTTGACCTCGCCGCTGGGCCTGGGCGATCGTGTTCAGGTGATTGGCACCAGCCAATTGTCACTGAATCGCAGCTCCACACCCTCGACGCCTGTGCATTCACTGTCCCGCAAGCGCAAGATGTCCACTCAATTGGATTGCCCGGACTTTGCGCCCAGTGTGCCCAAGCATGAGGCGGGTCTTTTGATCAGTCCGTTACGCAACTCTCATCATTCCATTACAGCTGCTGCACCGAGCAGCAGTAGCAGCAGCAGCAGCAGCCATCACAGCGAACACGATCCGAGCAAGACACCCGCGCACTCACATTGCTCCGCCTCCGTTTCCCCAGCCCTGTCCGGCATCAATTCCCAGGCAGAGAACAGCCTGGATGGGCAGGCCAGCAATGCAGCTGGGGGCAGTGGATCAGGCAGCGAGGCTGGTGATCCAACGTTGACGCAATGCATCCGCTTTAGCCCCTTTCAGCCAGAGAACTGGCACAAGCTATGCGATCAGAGCCTGCAGGAGCTGTCCGTCATTTATTATCGCGTGGATGCGGATAAAGGCTTCAACTTCAGCGTCTCGGATGACGCGTATGTGTGTCAGAAGAAGAATCACTTTCAGGTCACGTGCCATGCGCGCCTTCAAGGAGATGCCAAATTTGTGAAGACACCGTCCGGCTTAGAGAAAATCAAATCCTTTCACTTGCATTTCTACGGTGTCAAATTCGAGGCGCCCAACCAAACGATACGCGTGGAGCAGAGCCAATCGGATCGCTCCAAGAAGCCATTCTATCCTGTACCGTAAGTGTGCTGATCAAAAATGATTATTTTACCATATAGTACATACATATGTATGTATATATTTATATATAAATATATCACATTTGCCTTTATCAGTATCGATCTCCAGAGCCATATTGTCAGCAAGATAACCGTGGGTCGTCTTCACTTCTCGGAGACGACCAACAATAACATGCGCAAGAAGGGACGTCCCAATCCGGAACAGCGTTTCTTTCAGCTGGTCGTCGGCCTGCATGTGCACACCACGTCCGGACACTTTCCAGTTGTTAGCCATGGCAGCGAGCGTATTATTGTGCGTGCCTCGAATCCAGGGCAATTCGAGTCAGATGTGGACCTGTGCTGGCAGCGTGGCATTACACAGGAGTCCATCTTTCATGCGGGTCGCGTGGGCATTAATACGGATCGGCCGGATGAGAGTCTGGTTGTGCATGGCAATCTCAAGGTATCCGGCCATATTGTCCAGCCCAGCGATAGTCGCGCCAAACAGGAAATCGCCGAATTGGATACGTCGGTGCAGTTGCGCAACATGCAAAAGATTCGTATTGTCCGCTATCGCTATGAACCGGAATTCGCAGTGCACTCGGGTTTGAGGCGTGAAAGTGACACCAGGGAAATTGTCGACACGGGCGTCATAGCGCAGGAGGTGCGTGAGGTAATACCGGATGCAGTCCAAGAAGCCGGCAGCGTTGTACTCCCCAATGGAAATGTTATTGAGAACTTTTTGCTGGTCAATAAGGTAAGAAATTCAAACTTACTTCAAATTTGAGCAGTCAGTTGGCGCATATGGTCACACTGTAAATATTAACTAAAAAGGACTAGTTGACAATAATTAAATTATAATAAAGTCACAATCACTTTAATGACTTAAGACTTAGGGATATTATGCATAAGGTATCTTATATTATTTATATTAAATTTATAATTTGATTTAGACATACGCATAATTTTCTTATTTTTCCCAACTATATAAAATGTGTCCTTTAAGCGGTGCTTATTTATGGTCACATTTTTGGCAAGTTAAATCAAATTAAATATGTACACACCAAAATCAATGGTACATCATGGTCACACTTATTCTGATTTGAATGTTGAAACACTTTGGAAACCACTATTTGATAAAAACAAAACTCAGTTCTATTTACAATACAAAAGGAATGCTAAATATTATTTATATTTGTCCTAAACAAAACTCAAACACAAGCCAAACAATACAGATACTGAAAAACTTCTACTTTAATTGCTCTAGGATCGTATACTAATGGAGAACATTGGGGCCGTTAAGGAGCTATGCAAGGTGACCGGATCGCTGGAGACGCGCATCGAGAACCTGGAGCGAGCCAACAACACTCACAATAACCATCAATTGCGTGCCAAGGATTTGTTAGAGCCGCGTTGCATTCTACCACCACGCGYTCTCAAATCAAATAATCGCAGTAATGAGGGCTATGAAATCTGCTCCAGCCGCTTGATGCAGATCATCATCTTTCTGCTGATTATTGTGATGGCAGCCTGGTGAGCCCAGCATGACATATATAATTTATATATATAAAGTGTAATATTTATGAATCCAATCCAGTTTGGCTGCTGTTTCCACGCTGTATTTTGTGGAGCACAATAAGCAGCAACAGCAGCACTTAGAAGGATTTCCCGTGTTCGGCGACGGTCACCTCTATCGACCCGACGGAGCGACTCGTTTCACAGATGAGGATCGATACAATTTCCAGCAGAGTTTGCAAACGCTGTTCAGGAACAAAACGCATGGGGCGTGGCCCAGTTTTCTGTATGCGGCGAGTACAACGCGTCCCACTGGCAGAGGCAGCCAAGCTACACGATTGAGCGAAGGCGATGTCGAGGAGGAGGAGGAGTTGACGGCYGTTATGAACAATCCGCAGGTGAACTTACCGTTGCCCAAACTGCATGCACCGCAGCCACGCATCACAACTACTGCACCACGCAACAAAACGATCGTCAGCAAAAACAAATCGAAATGGCCCGTCTCACAGGATGCACTGCGTCCAGCTGCTGCCCAGAAACTGCTACAAAGTGTGCGCGTTGCAGCCGTTAGCCGTGCTCTAGCCAGCAGCACTAATGAAACGGATGGCTCTTCCGAGAAGCCGCAGGGCATAACACTCTCCCAGGACTTTGAGAATAATTCCATTGATGTGGATGCACAACAGCAGCAGCAGCAACAGCAACGATTACTGCAGCAGCAGCAACAACAACAGCACCAGCAGCAGCAGCAGCAACAGCCAGTGAAGCCTTCTTCCAAGCTGGACGAGCGCATTGTCGTTGTGAACACTGTCCCCAGCTCAGCTGTCGATAATCTCTCCTCCTCCGATGCTGGGCAGGCTATCCGTAAGCTAAATGCAGGCGATGCAGCCATTTATAATGTATACAAAACAGTTTCGCCACCCACGGCCAACCTGGCCCTGACCACCAACAAGGTGAGCACGGAGCAGACTCATGTCCAGAGCACACTCTCCCTCGCCTTGGATGTGCCGCCGCCCGCAGCTGTGCGCAACAGCAGCGGGAACAAAGAGAATGCCGATGCACTCGACCTGCAGAACCTGAGCAACACAAATGAATCGGAAGCTGTCGATAATCCCATAACAGCGCTCTTTGGCTTCGAGTACACGGATGCGGGTTTGCGTGATTCCGCTGTGGGTCGTCGCTCGGCCAATCAGCGTAGCCTGGAGTGGATTAGGCACAAGAGTCTGAAGACGCCGCTATTTGGCCAGCCCAAGGAATGCAATGGTGAGGAGGCAAATGCCGCCACATGTCAGGTGGGTTACAGTAGCTCCACTCCCTCTTATACTTCATCTTATACTCTAATCTAATTATCTTGTGCTTCTTTTCTTCCCAATCTTTGCGTTCAGTCCAGCTGCTTTGAGTCACAGCAGCCGGCTGCTGCGGACAATGTGGATGCGAACGTCAAGCAGCAGAATGTGGACGAAGATCTGCAGTCCGCCGAGCAGGACCAGGAACAGGAGGAGCCAGATATATTGATCATACAGCCAGTGGCGGGCAATGAGACGAACGCCTTCCATGGCAAAACCTCGCACAACACAGCTGCACGATCCAAGCAATTGGCCAGCGAAGCGGGAGTTGCTGCTGGCGAGGATGCTATATACACTGTGCTAAATGCTGAGCCCCCTGCAGCTGATGAGCACGTGGACGCGGCAGCACCTGTGGCCACAGCAACTGCTGTGCCACATCCCTTGGATTGCTGGAGCATCAGCAGCTGCGTGATCGCGGGGCTAAACAATCACACAATTGATGTGGCACAATTTTGTCCCAGCTCCGGCAGCTCTTTGAACATCACCTACACGGTGCCTGTGTCCAAGTTTTTGCAGGCTGCCAGCCTGGAATTGCATTTCAGGTTGGATTAGGGATGACTATCCTTTAGCAGCTGATAACATTTGATATTTCTTATCCCAAATAGTTCCAGCAGGCCGCTGCAGTGGTCTATCTGCAGCGATGAGGAGCAGTCGAAGTCAAACGCAGGCGCACAGCTAAACGAGGATGAGGATGCGCTACCAAGCGGCAGCAGCAACAACTGGGTAAAGGTGCTCAAGCAGCTGGGCAATAATAAACTCATTCTAGCCCTTGATATGCCCAATCGTGGCGACTTTCTGCGCGAGTTTATGCTGCGCGCCAGTCCAGACCTGGAACAAGTAAGCCACAAAAATATTACAGGGTATCTCAATTCACTCCTAATTACATTTGAATTGCAGCAAAAACTATGCGATGACAACGCCCATGTGGCAAACCCTATACTGCAGTACAACTTTAGCATCGTAAGAAATTGTGATTAGTTAACAATTTAATTTATGGCACGGATCGGATCAAAAACGAAATCAAAGATAATGGACTTCATTCCTGGCTCAGCGGCGACTGATCGCAGTTGAATGTGCGCCGCAATAAAAAATTTGACAACAAACTAAAAATAAAAAAAAACTTCAAAAACAAAACCATACAAAAATGCATTAAAAACATTTATCGACATTTTAAATAAAAATATTTAGTAAAATGTAACGTCGACTATATTGTTTAGCTACTTAGGGGCCTACTTAGAGCAAGATTGGATGTACTTTAGGGCTACACGGCGAAGGGCTGATCCTTGCCATCCTCGTGATATTTGATGTAGGTTTCGCCGTGTGTAAAGTCCTTGGTACCTTCCAGACGACCACGTGGCGGCGCCTTGTCGTAGTCGAATGCCTTTTCTGATTTGCCGAACAGCTGATTGGCCATTTCGATGTCCTCGCGGTATTTGCCAACAACAACTTTTTTACCGCTAATTGGATCGGTTATGTCACCCAGCGGGTAAACTACTTTTTCTACCTTATGCGTTATAAGTCGTGTCAAGCGTTCGGGCAGCTCTCTTATCAATACAACATCGCCCGTTTTACACACCTTTTCAGGATCGTGTGCAAAGAAGAATGTATCCTTTTTAAAGTACTGCAATTAAAGAATTTTAATAAAATACCCACATGCCGCCGAAGAGTACATTACACACCATATTTAGATTTGTGTCCAGCTCCATACGACGAACACGTATTTTGGAAGCATTTTGCTTGATGCAGGGCATGCATTGGCCCAATAGTAGTAATCCACGAGATGCCATCTCACTTAAATATTTAATAATAAAAACAACGTTAATTCACGTTTCTCAAAACCAATTATGAGTTAAGTGTGACCAGATTGTAGCACCCAAAAATACCATTACGAAAATTCAAAACAGCCATTCATTCGTTCAGTATTTAAAATTATTGCGCAGCAGGTGTGCACACACTTGATGTAACTGTTGATCAGCTGTTTGTGGCAGCTGTTGTGTACACACCTTGTCTCCGATAAGAAACAGTTTTTGTGTTGTGTGCTCCGCAATTTAAAACTTATTAAATTTAATCCATTATTTACACAATTTTGTTATAGTAATATAGCGCGCGTTAACCCAACTGCATGTTAAATACAATAGCTGTGCACAAGCAACGCACGCTTACGTCACCATGGTAAATAAACAAAGAAGCCATAGCAAATCAAAGTCGAATCGCTCCACAACTGATAACTAGCTGTAAATTGGATCAAAAACGTTGTTCCCTAAACGCTTACGAGATGAAGAATGGCTGAGCAACTGATATGCGTATTTAATTTCAAGCTCAACAACACAAGTCGCTTTTTAAAAATATCTACTTTGATCTGATCTTCAAATTTTTTATAGAGCTACGAACATGAAGACTATCCCGAGGATCCGTTCCCAAAAGATTTCGGTTATGGTGCTTATGATCAGGATGGCCTCGATCTCGAAGCGAATGCATCTAACAACAGCGAGACAAAACCTCGCATTCTATTAATGGGTCTGCGGAGATCGGGAAAAAGTTCCATACAGAAAGTCGTCTTCCACAAGATGTCACCGAATGAGACCGTCTTCCTTGAATCGACGAGTAAAATTGTCAAAGACGATATCAACAATTCCAGTTTTGTACAATTTCAAATCTGGGACTTTCCGGGTCAAATTGATTTCATAAAGCCGCCATTCGATTCAGATATGATCTTTCGGGGCTGTGGTGCCCTCGTATTTGTGATTGATGCCAAGGATGATTACATCGAAGCTTTGAGAAAATTCAAGGATACGGTCATAGAAGCGTACAAAGTAAATCCTCATATCAAATTCGAAGTTTTCATACACAAGGTAAGACAGACAATCGCTTATCAATATGTTTTGTAAATGCAGGTGTTTATTTTCTCATAGGTTGATGGCATTAGCGATGATTCGAAAATGGAATCACAACGCGATATACACCAACGTTCGTCGGATGACCTTAGCGAAGCGGGTCTAGATCAGATACATCTAAGTTTTCACTTAACCTCGATCTACGATCATTCAATATTCGAAGCGTTCTCGAAGGTGGTGCAAAAGCTAATACCACAGCTGCCCACGCTAGAAAATCTGTTAAATATATTCATACCAGTAAGTAGAGTTGATAAACTCTTATCAATGTGAATAATTATATTATTATTGCTATTACCCTAAAGAACTCTGGCATAGAGAAAGCGTTTCTCTTTGATGTCGTATCGAAAATTTATATTGCTACTGATTCATCACCTGTGGATATGCAAGCCTATGAGCTATGCTGTGACATGATTGATATGGTCATTGATCTGTCAAGTATCTACAGGTAAACGCGATAATATATTCATAAACGAGTACAATATTTAATACAGTTTATCACCTCTCCCCACAGCTCTGAGGAAACGGCATTTGACAGCGGCAGTTCTAGTCTCATCAAATTAAATAACAATACGATACTCTATATGCGTGAAGTGAACAAGTTCTTGGCTTTGGTCTGCATTTTGCGCGAAGAGAATTTCAATCGACAGGGTGTCATTGACTATAATTTTATATGCTTTCGCGATGCCATTAGTGAGGTATTTGAGCTGCGATTGAAACGTCAGAAGCAACTGCAAAATCCCGACCAGGACGATGATGAACTGGCCGACGACCGTGGCCTTACAATGGGTGGTCGTTTGAACCATGACAATGATGCAGCTGCGGTATCCAGAGCGCCATAAATTACACGAATCATAATTCCAGTGACCTTAAGTTTTGTGTGCTTAGCTTTTTGCATAATTTTTCCCCGTTTATCTTCATACTTGAGCACACACATACCCACAGAGACATCAAAATACTGATAACACTGATTTGTCTTATTATTTTTTATCCAATTTTTATGTTATTATTTTCTTTTATATATCTTTGCTCTGTTCTATATTGTTAATTCATATGTGTAGCCGCTTTGCTGCTCCTTACAACGCCAGAAATGCCCAGCGTTTATAAACACTACAACTAAAAATATGTATATTTTTAAATAAAATTATATTAAATAAAAGTTTGATACTATTTAAATTCAAAGAAAATGCGCAATATCTTATTTTACGTGGGCGGTCATATTTCAAACAATATCGATTTTAGAGGCGATCGCAACTATTTGCCCGATAGTCTTTTGTGCACATATCGAATATATATAGACAATGTAAATAACTCGATCATAAATAAATGTGTTAATACCATAGTAAAAGTTATTGTTTCTGTAAACGCAATATATGCATGAATATAGTAAACATTTACCAACTAATATCGATATGGTTTGAAAGAAGTCAAACATTTTAAATCGATGACTTATATCGTTGCATCGATGTTTTCTTATATCACTTACATCTCTAGAACAACTACAACAGACTGGTCGACGGCGACACTCTTTGCATGTGTGTGTGCGAGCTGGTCATACAGTTGTGAAAAATGAGCTGCTAAGAGCAGTAGAATTAATAGTTAATGCGCCAGTAGTAGCCGAAATAGTTAATTTGTCTTCAACACATAAATCGTGCTAATTTAATTAAAAGTTGTTTTTGTGCATGTGTGGTGTGGAAGATCGACGGGGTATTGTAGTAAAAAATATAAAAACCAGTTAAAAACGGGTGAAAGAAAGAAATTTGATATATGTATGTGTGTGCAAGTGTATGTGTTAGTCTGTGGCTATATGTGTGAGGAAAAGCAATAACAACAACACCAACAACAACCTGGTCTCGTATGTCCGCTTTCCTTGCTCATTACGGTGCTTTTCTATGCCCAAAGTGCAGGCAAGTGCAGCCTGGAATAATCACAAGCAGAATCGACGACAGGTGCGTACACAAAGGTTTTCTACTTTCTGTCTACTCTGTTTGCTATTTATTGATTGTTCAAATGCTCGGCCGCTACAGCATCCCATCACAATAGATATTAACTCATTCAACCAAAATACTTTTTATGTATAAATAAAGTGAAAGGTGGTGGCACATCTTCGGCCTTTTGTCTGTCCCCTCCCATACAAATAACAAACGATAATAAAAGATGAAGCACATGTAATTGTAATCTACTAATAATATACTAAATATATATGTATATATGCTAAAACTCTATTGTTGATTGATTCGGTGGAGAAAAATGAGAGTGAAGAACCACTGCTAAAGCGCTGAGATGTGCGTGTGTGCGAAAGAGATGCAGCGCACCACTTTCATGATAACAGAAATAACAAATTGGCAATCGATAAATAACAAATTGTTGCAGTTAGACTCGAGTCATTGCAGCTGTGCAGCTGGGCGGAACCAGTGTATACATAAACCACTAAAGTAGGTAAACAATTAACCGCAAATGTGTTCTGGAGTGTTGTCACCCACCCGCACATAGTAGAGCTTATGTCATAAGGGAAAATATATGTACATATATGTAAATCTACAAATACTTGGATATATTTAGGATTTTATGCCTATAATGATTTTTTTAGTGATCAACCCCCAAATAACTGAAAACACCATAGCAACAGATGTAGGATGTTATGCTTATGACCTCAGACGTGTGCTTTTTTTCTTGCGGTCTCTCCTTTTTGGCCATTTCCTACCTCAAACGATTTGAGTCATGCAATCTCAGACATTTGAGGTTATGTCTGCATTTAGCCGGGTAGTTTTATTTTGCAGGGGTTGCAGCTCTCATCGATTTTATTATTGTGGTAAACATTATATCCAACCATTGTTTAATATTCTTTGCTCAAGCAAAATTTAAATAATTTCGAATAGAGGAGGTGGGGGTGGGGGCCTGACCAAAAAGCGTTAAGTGTGTTAATGTTTTTTAATTTGTGTTGCCAACACGTGCCGCTTACAATTTTCGTTTTCTTTGCTCCAACAAATTCTCAACTTTGAGAGGGCGTGCCCCAAAGGCAATGAGCATTCGACGCAGGTGGCACAAAGAAATCTCCCAAAAAAAAAAAAAGATACAAAAAAACCCATTTGTAGGCAAATTAAATTTCCAACAAACCGTGAAGTTGGTTAGTGGGTTTTGTTGTTTTGGCCAAAAGATATGAGTTTGAGTTGCATTCATTTCTGTTTTTCTTTTACGCCGCTTCGCCATTTTCAACTCTTTCTCGCCCCCCTCTCGCTCCCTTTCTGTCTGCTCTTATCTGTGAGACGAATATTTGCCGTTAGTTGTAGTTGGCAGCAGGCGCTTTGTAAATTATTTTTTATCGATTGCTTTCACACTTCCGCACTGAACAATTCAATCAGACCAACAGACAGACGGAACAATTGACTTTTTGCTACACTCTCATTCATTTCTCTCATTCTCGTGTCTGTCTATTAAGTTCTTTCTCTTCTATTTTTTTTTTTTTGCCAGCCATCATTCATTTGCTGGCCATACTTTGTTTGCTGTTCTTGTTGGCTGCGCTGTCCGCTTGCTCCAAGCGGAAGCGACGTCATTTATGTAAATTGTTTGCGTGACATTGCTATAGAGAGTCCATATTATGAACCGGTACACGCACGCCCCTAGGCATTAAATGCAAACAATTGTTACCACCAGAACGAAAGCCAACTCAGCCTGCCTCCCCCACCCTCCGTTCCTCCCTTCCTCTTTCTCCTCACTGGCGGCTGCGCTTTGTCAACCGTAAGCAGTCAATTTGCCATAAAAAACAAAGAAAAACAACAGTAAAATTTAAATTTGCATTGAGCCAGCTGTTAATTTAATGTGAGTTTAACAGAAATGCGATCCGCTGTTAATGGCTTTTCGAGTTATGTTAAGTATTTCGTTGCATAAATTGACAACTGTTAACATTATTATAAATAGGCAAAGATAAACTATTTCCCTACATTTTATGTGATCATAGAAGCGTAAGCCCTTTTCCTTTGTCAGATCGGCTGTTATATTAAAAGCTTTCTTTACGTTGATATGTTAGGCAGCTGCAAAGGCAATTGTTGCCATGCATAGGGAAAATATGCTTGACATTTAAGCCTATTTATTTAATTATAAGCACATTTTTAAAATAAACATTTTCAGCTAGGTAGTTGAGAGAGTTATTTAAAGATCATAAAGTCAAGTAATTGCTTTAAATACAATTTGACGAAATAAAAATTAGCAATAAAAATCAGCTAATGTGGGAACATACATTTCTGCTTTGTGTTTCGGCAAGTAATAAAACTGTTTTATTTTGCTTCATTTTTTTCCCTTTAAAAAATCTCAACGAATAAAGTCAAAAATGTATATGCTTTCATCTGGCGCGCCATAGATTCAAATTGGGTTGCAGCTTGTTGAATTGTTGTTGTTGTTGTTGTTTGGTTAAATTACCTGCCCTGTGCGCAAAGTTCAGCGAGGTGAAACGGTTAAATGTTTTCAAAAACTTGCCCCCAAGTCGCACACAACACAGACATTACTAAGTATACATACATATATATTCGTATACATATCTATGTATATCTATCTGTGCTCCACATTATGAGCCTTTATTGCTCTGCCGATACAGGGTGCTTCAGCTGCACTGAAATATCGGTTCAATGCACTTGGCCCATGATAAACTACAAATTATGTATGCATTTCTCTTATAGTCACGTTGCTGTTTTTTTTTTTTTTTTTCTGTTTAACTCTGCTGTCAGCGAATATGAATAATGTGATTCAATATAAAAATAAAACGTGATATAAAATAAAATAAACTGAAAATA